GGTACTAGCTAATTTCTGTTCAGTGATGTTGCAATTTGTCGTCAAACAATGCAAAGGATGATTTTTAAAAGTAAAATCACAAACTAACTTAGTCTGTGGTAAAATTAGTAAAAAATTATTTTTTAATGAAAATTATATCAAATTATTAAGTAATCAGTCATGAGAAAATTGAAAAAAACATGAACGCAAGCGAAGAACAAAACACAGGTAACTTAAAATTCACATCAAACAACATAAACCAACTTAATAAATTTGAAAAAAAATTATATTTTTGAATTACAAATGCAAATGCCCATAAAACTTCATAGTAACTTCAAAAGAGAAAAGAAGTAAGCACAATAATAAATCGTATCACTACTTATTTAGGAGAGATTTTTCCTCTCTATAATAAGATCTCTGAACTTCTCGCCAAAATTATCATCGATTGTCATTCTCCAGCCCTCTTTGATTCCGTTTTTTCTTCGATCATACGATATTTTATGTTTTTATAGAAATTTGCATTTTTAATGGAAAATGTTAGTGGTTTTTTTTAATGTAGTTAAGTTGGTTTATGTTGTTCGATGTAAATTTTAAATTACTCATGTTTTTTTTGTTTTTTTTGCTTCGCTTGTGTTCATGTTAATTTTCTCATAATTGATTACTAAAATAAAATTTGATATAATTTTTATTAAAAAACTCAAATTTTTATCGATTTTACTTTTCAAAATCATGCCTTGCTTGCTGATTAACGAACTGCACCATCACTGAACAAAAATTAGCTAGTACCGAAAAAAACGGAAAATCCCGGTTTCTTATAGGCATGGTATCGAAATTCCCGGTTCCGAAAAACAGCTCCGGTTCCGCAAGCCTTAGTTGTAAGTAGAGATCGGCAAGACAAGAAATCTTGTCTTAACAAGCAATTTCTTGTCTTGTCTTGAAATATTTTCAAGAATTAAAAAAAATTTTGTCTTGACCATTTCTTGAGAGTTGATTTCTTGTCTTGATTCAAGAAATCTTGAAATTTCTTGATATCTTGACAAAACGGGAACCCCCGTTTAAAATTCGTTTATTAAAGGGGAACCCCCTATTTAAAAGTCGCGGTGAGATTGGTTAATGTGATGTTTATGCTTTATGCGTAAAATCGAGGGTCAGGCATCTAATTTTCAAAAAATTGAAAAACTTTGGGCTCATTATACTACAGTAGCCAAAATCATCAGATTTACATAATTTTGTTAATAATATATATGATGTTTATTTATATACTCAATATATTACAATGTATCAATAAATATATAATAAACATAAATTTACCTCTGAAAAAACTAAAAGTTTTTTGTGCGAGGTTTTCTATGCGATCAACAAATACAAATTCAGATTACATTCATACATACACTCTAAAAATATGACTAAAGTACAATATGTTAATCGTTTCCATAATATAATTCTGACCACTACTTATTTTTTCTTATTTTTCTATAACTTGCTATTGCTATCTTTATTAACATTTTTCTATAATACTCAAAAAAATATAATTCACAGAATAATTATCAACAAAAGAAAATATAAATAATAAAAACATATTAATCTTAATCTATAGTTAAAAATATCCTAATCTTTTTACAACGGTTTCACAAAAAAATAATTTATGAAGATTTGTTAGAATTCGCTCGCGTCCGATACGGAGGTGCTCGTTTCACGTTCGTTTCAGGAAATATATTAGATATGTCTTGCACCTTGCGTTTTCTTTCGGAACCCGGTATATCTTCTCTTGGTAGATCTTCGCTATTTCCAATATTATTATGATTTAGTAATTTTCCAGATTTTTGAGTTTGCAGTTTTTCTCCCTCAGTCTGCGATTGTGGATAATTGTATGGATTCATTTCTTGGAGAAATGACAACGTTCTGGATCCGGATGCTTCTTGATAATACTTTTCTTTAAAATCGCCACTAGTATAACTAATACCATCAATTACTAACTTATTTCCTTTTAGCTTAGCGTTTCTGTTTTGAGCTTTTGCTTCTTTCAATTTTTCGACTAAAACCTTTTTGTTCACTCTGTCTTCTGCTACTAAATCTTCGTCTATAAATATATTTGTTCCTCTGAGTTTTCCCTTGTTTTTAAGGAGTTCCGTCCTTTTTAAACAAGACACTAAGCTTATAAGGATAGGTCGATCTTTGGTTATATTTTTTCCAAGTCTGAAACACTCCGATAAATCTTCTATCTTCAAGTTCGAGTTTTTCTTTTACAAGATCTATTATGGATTCCACAAGATGTTCACTATTTCTCTCTGGCATTCCATATATTATCAAATTGTTTTTCTTTAAAAGTTTTTGTGTAAGATATACTTGATGTTCTAATTCCTTATTTTCTGTTTCTAATATTTCAATTTTACTTTGAAGGAAAAAAAACTGCTTATCAACTTTAGAGCTGAGATTATCTAGGTCTGTCTTGATGTTATCAATCTTATTGCAAACATTTTCGTTAATATTATTCAAGAGCGTGTATAAATCCCCTAATTTAATTTCTTGGGTCATTTTATCGATAAACAGCAGTAAATTTTGAGACATTTTGAGACACTTGACAACACCGTTGGGATGGCTTGTAAGGTTGCTTGCTAAATATTGCAAATTCTTTAAATTCTTCTATGTGATAGTATTTTAGAGATATTCAAAAACTACTTTTCGTGAAGTCTGAATCAACTGATTTTCACTCACCCGTTCTAACTTAATATACTTTATAACTTGTAATTTGAATTTTCTAATATATTTCATAGATAACTCCACTTTTTGAATATATTTAAGGGATAAAATTCTAATTCACATTAACACTTGACCTGCGACGTTGCCATCTTGACTAGCCAATTAAAATTATTATCTAACATTAAATTGAGTGATTGTGATGGCTCGTTAAGCAGCAAATCTGAGCCATTCGTAATTGAATCTGATTCAGAATACCTACCACCTCAGACACCTAGACGTAGAAGTTTAATTAGTGACTTTGACAGTATAGTGACGGTAATAATACTACTACAGATAAAAACAGTCAAAACAACAATGATAAAAGCTACTCTACTTCAGTTTCGTACAATAAAATGTATTATTTTTTTTTATTTTAAAAGTTTTACGTTAATTCAAAAAGTTTGTATGCCACTGAAGTAGACCCGCTTTGCAATTTTTTTTTATTCTAATATCGTAGGCCATAACATATCCAAAAAAAAACATTTAAAAATTAAAAAGTTATTAGGCATTAAAAAAGGTTCCAGTTTAATTTGGCCCACAGTATGTCAACTTTGGACATCCGACTTTGGACGTACCTACTTATATCAGGACATTGGATATCCGACAAAGTGCCGCCTCATACAAATATTTTTTGCTTAATAATTTCTTTATCCATCAATTAATGGATATTCATATAATATACAAATACCTAAGTAAATGAGTATTTCTTTTTTATTTTCAAGAAATTTCAAGATTTTCTTGATTTCTTGTCAAGAAATCTTGATCTTGAGAAGTAATTTCTTGTCTTGTCTTGAAAACCAAAAATAATTTCTTGTCTTGATCTTGTCTTGAAATCAAGACAAGATCAAGAAGTTGTCAATAAAATGACGACCCTTACACTTACAACTAGTGTAAGTCGTTGAGATTTGATTTCGGAATTAAATCAGTTACAACTTCTAGCATTCTTATTTCTAATGGAATATCGCTCGAAAAATTTCAACGAGTCACCACTGGAGCTGTATAAAATGGTCTCAGGTGGCGAAGCGAGCGTTCTACGACACTTGCCCTTCAAGTTTCGCTTGCGGGAAATATATAAATTAATTTCTTATTCGCCGCAGTGTGGCGTTCGTAGTGCCATCTCTGCCATTTGGTAAAGTCTGAAACAGATGTTGCTACTTCGTATCGCACTCCAGACTTTCGACTTTGTTGTCAGAAAATTAAAAATATTAATTATAGAATGTTGACTGTTGTCCATACTGACAAACAAATTTTGTACTATTAATATTCCTAGTACTATTAATTATAATTTTGTACTTTCTATTTCTGCACTCACTACCAACTTGTGTAGGTCCTTGATAGGATTGAAGCATAGTTCCTTCCAGCTATTCTCTGAACCAGGGATTACTGCACTACAGGTTATACGTATTCCCAGTACCTGGATCAAGAGAGGATTCCAATTATCCTTGCCCTGATAATTTAGTTCTGTGGCCTAGGATAATTTAATTCTGTTCCGTTCTCCCGGAGTTCTCAGTTCACCCAGACGAGTCTCGACGATACCTTTTTTTAATAAGTGTCCTAAGTGCCTCATAACTGTATGGGCATATATTGATGAGTTTACCTGAGTAAGCCTCCATTGATGCAGTGAGCGTTGTTTTCTTTGCCTCTGTTATGTTTAGACAAGCACGTCTTTGCACCTTGCTAAGGCTGAGCATTGTTGTTTGTTGTATTACCTTAGGCCACCATATCAAGGATGCATATGATACTGAAGGCCTCACTACCCCAATTTTTTCCACGAAGTCGTCTAACTTTAGTGTAGTCACCGCTCCTTCTGTGACATTTTTCAAATGTTGGTTCCAGGTCAATTTAGTATCTAGCTTCTCAGGTACTTGACCTCCCTCGAGAGAGTAATTATGTCAATGCAGAATCTTATAGGTCCTAGACTCTCCAAAATTCTTGGCTGGTGTTACTGTTTTTGTAGGACTAATATTTGGTCCCCCCGTGTCACACACGATTCCACAATCTTCAGGGCTATCTGCATTCGCTCCCTTACTGTGATATTATACTTACCTCTATTAAGGGTTCTTGATGACGATTAATTTTTTAGTTAAATGATAAATAGATCTAATCTCTAATCAAAAATAATACCAATCGTGAAGATGGCAGTTGATTTTAATAGATAACGTTCTATAAACGACAGAAAAAAAACATTCTATAAACGATATTATAAACATTAAAAAAAAACATTAAAAACTCACATTCCATAGAAACAATAATAATCTCAAGATAATGGTATTTAATTTCAGATGTCAAGCTGGTACTGGGCGTTGCATCGTGGACAAAGCTCACAGAAATCAATGCCAAGCTTGCAGACTGAAGAAATGCTTGGCAATGGGTATGAACAAAGATGGTGAGTCCCTTTCCATACTTTAGAATATTATTTTTTTAGTTACAGGGTTTAATTCAACGATATAAAAATGTTTATCTCACAAAATATGTATAAGCGATACCAATTAAACTTTTAGTTACATAAGCGAAGGCGCGATTTTTAAATTCATTGTTGGCAACCATGGCTAACTGGAATTTAAATTTCCCGCTGGGGATTCTGGTCGTAGCTCTACTGTAAAGAATGTCAAGGTGCCACATTTACTTATTTATTTCCTAGCATTGTCATTCGTTTTGACACTTTAGTTTTGTATTACGTCTTAGTTTTTGGTTTCAATGAATTGTGTTGTGATACTTAGCTTAAAAAACTTTTACTAGCAGACCTTGAAAGAGAACATTGTTCGCTTTAGAACCTTTATTAGTGCGAAGTGTACAAGATAGCTTAATAGCCGTTCCAAAAAATTTATCGCAACCTTATTAGAATATTTTGAACGGGAAAGCGGTAGTAATGGCCCTTTATGTCTCTTAAGTGCCCTTAAGGAGGTGAGTTTTGTTGATGTGAATAATAACGATTTATATACAATTTATAATTAATTTATTTTTGTTTCTTAAAATATTTTGATTAAAAGAAAATATGTAAAAGTGGACAACGCTGGGCCGGTGAAGCTTAATGTGACTAAAGGCTCACGTGACCAAAAATTTATTTGATATGATCTATAGATTATCTTACGTATTTTAGTGTTTTTTGCCTTAGTTGGTGCAATGAGATGAAATTGAAATAATTTGTAAACCCTTAACTCTTTCTAATCGTCTCTAAAACTAAAAACCATATTACCACCGCAAGGCGTAAGCTTCGAACAATAATTTCTTTGATCGTACCCGTTCTGTGGCCACACCACGGCCTCGTTTGACATAACAGACGACGCTCAATTATTTTGCATACGCGTCCGCGATGGCCACGTGTCCGCGTGCCCTCTTGCGGCCAATTTGACAGGCAAACGAGGCTTCCCGCCGCGATAAACGAAGAAGAAGAAAAAAAGAGGCGAAGCGCGGGCCGATGCCGTCGCTTCCCCTATTTAACCAACTTAAACTTGCTTCCCCTGTTTAAATAGCGACCAGCGTCGTTTTGCTAAAATAACGAATACAATGGAGTGATTGCGGGCGTTAAGTACATATGAAGGGGTAAAGTTTTCGATATTGTAGACAGAAGCGTCAATTATTATAGGCTTAAAATAATAATTTAGTGTCATATATTATGTGTCTAGGGTTGGCAAAATCTGGTATTTAACTTTTACTAGTTTTATATCAAGTTTTATACCTTATTATACCAAAAGGTATAATACTTTCGATTTAAAAAAATGGCAACGGCTTTTTGTTATAAAATAAATCTGTTATAACCAAACTTATTATTTATTCAATAAAACAAAATAAAAACGATTATTATTCTTAAAAAAAATTGTAAAAACAAAACCAATAAACAAACAAAGCAAGTCAAACTGGCTTTTTTGACTTGGAATAAAAAGTTTTGTACTAATTTCTGCGAGGGGCATATCGTCTTCGATCTCCAAGTATTGTATGTCCGTTTCCAAGTCACTCAGTTCAACTCCCTTGACACTCTTCGTCTCTGGAAAGCTACAACCTGAGAGTGTATCCAATTCCATTTCCTCCTCCTCTAACGTGGCATTATCCAACTCCCCTCCATGTAAAAATAAAAATTAAGAAGAAAAAACATTAGAAATTGTCAATATATACCTACCCTTTTGGATTTGTGAAGATGTCAAATTATTGCCCTCTTCATCTAGCTCCAGAAACCTTAAATTGTGTTCTACGGCAAGCAGCTTCTCAACAGTTTCGTTAGAAATTTTATTTATATCCTTGGTATGTATGCGAGATTGACAGGAAAACTCCCGTTCAACAGATGCGCTTGATTATGGAACCGACATTATTCTAATAGCTATTGTTGCAAGGTCTGAAACCTCTGAAAAATGCTGGAACATTTTTCACTACGTGACTGGATTGGACATGTTCTTGGCATCCCAGTATAGACAGGGTTTAAAATGGGTGTTCTTTTTGTATATATTTAAAGTATTAAGAAAATATATTTGAACGTCGTGCTTCATTTTCCCAAAATCCGTAATATTTTATATAAAATTCTAAATTCGAAACGACCTTGGTTTTATCTGTATCGTTAAGCGACTGTCCACCAAATCTGGGATCTAAGATATTGGCCAAATTGTGCGTGGATGTAACCATAAAATCTTCCCTTTGACGAATCAGGTCATTTATTTTTTTGGCATCTTGCTGACTAAAGTAAGAACCACACTGTTTAAGTTTTTTTTTTGATACCATTAAATATTTCTGGGACACTGGAAATTGAAGTCGAATTTGATTCGGCGAGTGCAATGCCATCAGCAACTGGCTTTAATAAGTCGTGTGTTATTTGTAATTTGCACCAAAACGATTTATTTCTGTTATCAGGCGTATTAAGGTCATTAGTATCAGTATCCATATCCAATATTCCTTTTCTATTTGCTGGCAACAAAGTTATCTCATCATCAACAGCTAGTTGTTTCAAGACCGTTTGAGATTTCGATACGCTAGATAACATCTTTACTAGAGAATACCAACGTGTATTTACTGGTAAAGACATTGTTGTCTCTTTTATTCTTTTCTGAGTAGCGTATTTCTTCATATATTCTTTGAATTTAGCATACTTCTGAAGAGAGTCTTGTTTTTCTCTTATAATCGATTTTGTTTTGTTTATTATCTTCTGGTATCGTATCTAGCTTACACAAATCCTGAGTGAGGAGGTTTAGGGCATGCGCGCTACATCCATAACAGAGAATGTGAGGATATTCTGATCTCGGTAATCTCCACATTGCCTTCATGTTACTAGCATTGTCGCTGACTATTGCAGTAAATTTCAAAGAGCTAATTTCTTCTATCACTTTTTTACTGATGTGAAACAAAAAAAAATAGTTTAATACAATTTGGTATAATATTGGATAAGTTTAAACAAAGTATAATACCAAGTATAATACTAATTATACAATTTGGTATAAAACCTTTGCCAACCCTATATGTGTCTTTTATGGTTCTAAAGTTACTAAACATTATGTATTATTTATTTTACACATAAGTTTCATACAATAAGAAACAGAGTCGCAGTAACCTTTAAAACGAAAATTCATAATTCCTGTGACGTTAAATATCGACAAAATTCAATAACAAATTCTCTTTTTTATTGGTCCAGAACCCTTTTGCGATGTGAGAAAAGCAGTCATGAGCATGGCCATAAAACCGAATCTGATAAGCAAAGCCACAAAAGACAGTGAAAGCTGTAGTGGATCTACAAACAGGGTGAATAGGCATCTAATCTAATGAGATTGACGGACAAAGTTAAGTGCAGGTTCTGTCAATCTGAAGAAGAAACAAGAGAACACATCTTATGTCGATGCGACAGCCTGGCAGATGTGCGGTTCTTTGTACTAGATAATGAAAGACTATTGACAGAGAGCTATGTGGAGGGAACCCTCCATATAGCCCTTTATCAATTGACTATCATTATCTAGTACTTGGAGTTTTTGAAAAAGATAGGTGTAGAGAAAATGGGGGCCAGAAGAAGACTAACACTAGATCTGAAAAGGTCGCAGTGGATCAGGCCGCCGATAGTCACCTCGAAAAATCTAATTTGATCTCACTCTTTTATGTACCACTTAAAAAAAATTGACATAAAAACTTGTTAAAATAAGTATTTAAATAGAAAAAGAGACAGAAAGCGCTACCAGACACGTCATCGTTCACACGCAACATGTTATACACATATATTTGTCCTATTCCCCTTGGTTTTTTAAATACAGAGCGCATTTAAAAATGTTGCATTTTTCGACCCCCTTCGTATCTCGTTTATCTCATAAGTTATCGAAAAGTTGAAAAATGAGTCCCATAGAGTTTTCCACTGAAAATTTCACACCTCTACTTTTCAACCAATAACATGCTTTAATGTTGACTAGTTACCATGGCAACTGAAAAAATTTCCGGAAATTTTTTCGAGGCGCCACGAAACTTTAGTGGAAATTTTTTGACAGTTGAAAAGGTAAACATAAGATCTACAATCATAATGTGAATGAACTACAATGTCTATATATTGAAATATTACCTATTTGAGTTTTAGCAATACCTTGGCCAACTTAACAAATTGAAATTATTTTAAAATGTCATGTTGGATTAATATTTTTTTTTCAAATTTAGGTGTGAAATTTTCTTACCGAATACCACGCAAGCTTAAATTATTCCTGGAAATTTTCTTTCGGGCACGAATATTTTAGGAAAATTATCCCTCGTCTTCGACTCGGGATAATTTTCAAAATATTCGTGCCCTCAAAAAAATTTCCGAAAATAATTTAAGCTCTTGTGATATTATAAGTGAAAACTCAATAGCGTAACTAGATTTTCGCTTGGATCTGTCATTCTTGAAATACGACCCAAAGTTAATAAATATTATATAATAATATAAGGTAAAAAATATTTAACTTTTTAACATAGGCGGTCGTTATAAATTAATTAATCAAAACAATCAAATAATTTATTCGATGGCAACGGCCCAGCTACGTCGAAATACCAGTTCCCATTAGAACACCGAAGTTAAGCGACGTAAGGCGATACTGGTGGATGGACGGGTTACCGGTTCGAAACTCTGTATCGTGCTGTTGTCCAAAAAAAGGCAAAAGTGTAAAATCTATTGACACACACTGCTCATTCACGCTGGTTCGAGGCCGGATGAGATCGGATATCTCGTCAGTAAGAGTCGATTTAGACACTTGCCAAGTCGGTAGACCATTGACCATGATATGGCCGAGGACCGTGGTTCGGATTCCGCGTAAACAAAGTAGTTAAAGGAGACGTTAACTGAAATCGTTACTTTACTTTAATTTATTCGATGTCAAGTTTTGGTTATTGGATATCCACGCTAGTTTCTGGTGTAGATAGAATTAGTGCACAAGTACATCAAAAATATCCGTAACT